TTTTCATATTCGGCACAAAGTAAACATTAGAAATAAATTGATGCTTCCCATTTTTCTGACGGATGAGAATGTTACCTTTGCCTTTCACCTCTATCTTGGACTCATCTCCAAAAGACACGATGCCACTTACTGATTCATCAAGCTCTACGAACATGCTTCGTCTCCCGCACATATGGGTGCTTGCACCGGTATCTGGGTACCATGTACTATCTTCACCTCTTTCACTATCCTTATATGCTAGAAGTAGAGTGTCATCTTCTTCTCTTTTTTCTTCAATGTAGTTGACTCTTTCATTAACTTTGTACTTAGGTGCTCTACATTCTTTCACATAATACCCGAATTTATCTAGAAGTAGAGTGTCATCTTCTTCTCTTTTTTCTTCAATGTAGTTAACTCTTTCATTAACTTTGTACTTAGTTGCTCTACATTCTTTCGCATAATGCCCGAACTTGTTACAACTATAGCACTTAATTTGAGATTTATCATACCTCGAGTTTGAGCGTCCTTAACCACATCCTCTTGTAGATCCTTCTCCTTTCTCATAATTATTATTGGGACTCCATCCTTGCTTGCTAGCATGACCTCGTCCTTGTCCACTACCTTTTCCATGTTGGCTTCTAATGTTTTTGAAGCTTTCATCTTTCTGAGTTAATTAGAGATTTTTCTTGAGAAGTTGTTCGACAATCTCTTCATTCATCTTCTTCTTTTCTTCATGGGCTTGCAATGAACCCAGAAGTTGCTCTATCGTCATGGCTTGTAAGTCCTTCGTCTCTTCGATAATGGTTGCGATACTATCAAATTTTGAATCTAACGATCGAATAATCTTTTCGGTGATAGCCACATCTTCTAACTTCTCAACATTTCTTTTTAGTTGATTGGAAATGGTAATGACTCTAGAAAAGTAATCGGAGACCAACTCGCCTTCTTTCATATGCAAAACATCAAATTGGCTTCTTAAAGTTTGAAGTCGTACCTTTTTAACCTTCTCTTCTCCCTTATACGAAACCTCGAGCTTCTTCCATGCTAGTTTGGTCGAATTAGCACTTAAGATCTTCTCAAAACCATCTTCATCTAAAGCTTGATAGATGAGGAAGAGAGCCTTCTTGTCTCTCTTTCGCAAGTCTCTTAAGCTATCCTTTTGTGTTGTGGATAGAGCGGACTCGTCGCTTGGCTCATCGTAGCCTTTCTCCACAACTTCCCAAACGTCATGCGCTCCAAGGAGTGTCTTCATCTTGATACTCTAATTGTCGTAGATGTTTTCCTTAAGCATCGGGACTTGGAACGATACCATGCCACCGTTTGTCATTGCTCTGTAATAGAACCTTTAGTCTCTGATACCACTTTGTTGGAATGGAAAAGCTTTTAGGAAATGACAAAGGCTACAACAAAGGCTAAAAACACAACTTATGGAAGAAGTTTCACTCTTATTTAACACCTTTACTTGGCTTGATACAAACTCAAAGACTCCCCTCAAAGACTCCACCCTTATTTATACTATTGGCACCTCCTAAATTAATAGCTAGAATTGTGCCACCACAATTACAATCCAATGGTTATAAATAATTTCATACCTATTACACAATAATTTCATACCTACCACACATTTTGGAATAAGCTTCTAGATGAGACATGTTTCTAGAAATTAGGCTCTTATTGTGTTTTATTTAAATAACTAAAATCAAGTTTATATTTCAACACCCTCTCGAGCGTTTGTAGTCTATTTAGGAAGTCTCTAGAGAATCGGGGTGGAGCCTGACATGAAAGCAATACCTTATGACTGATCTTCGGCATGTACGTTGTTGGCCCAAGAGACATCCGAGTAGGTAGTTATAATGAGATCTCCCTTAGAGATTAAAAAGAGGCCGAGGTTGACATAAATTTATCTTATTATCGGCGGTCAAATATCATCATTAATAATATTAAAACCATTAGTAAATTAATTACCTGCGGTTAAGCTATGATCTCTTCGAAGTAACAAAGATGCTTGTCGGTAATATAATTACTTACGAATTTACCGATGAATCTCTTAGCACCGACGGTTATCTGACAAATATTAACCCTCCTTGTTGGTTCAAAACTATTGCGTGTTTAACCATCCATGTCCATGAACAATATAATCGACATATGTGTCCGTCGAAAATTTGTTGCACTTCTATCAGAAAAGTATAGCGCTTCCACTGAAAAAGTGTAGCATAATCGTCAGTTAACTGTCGCTAATTACCAACGGTTTTATTTATCGAAATAGTGTATCACTTTATAAAAACGTCGCTTGTTCGATAAACCGTTGAACAACTGCGGAACTTAATCAATCTTAAAACCGTCGGTAAGCCGTCAAAACCTGTAGCATCAGAAAAAATTAAACACATTTTTCAACTCTATAATTAAAACACTTGCAATCATAACAATATAATTTCCACACAATACATTACATCGCAGCAATGAAACTAATTACCATATAAACCATAAAAAAAATAATGGAAAAGCAATTGCATTAAATGAAATGACATGTAAAACTGTCCAATAAAAATATTGTTTGGGACCAATAAATTGTTTAACATATACAAACATGAGAAAATAACCCTGACTCATCCTCAACGGCCCTCTCCTCATCATCCTTCTCATCGTCATCCTGAATTGGCTACTACCCTATAAGTTGTTCAGAATGTAGCATCGTTTCATTCTCTGATTTCATCTTTCTCTCAATCTCCGATCTTAGGGTGGCTAGTTGGGTGGAGATCTTGGCAGTAATCTCAGCAGCAATCTGGCAACGAATCTCCTCCTCCTGTTCAATGGACGTAGATGCACCAGATGTCAATCTCAGCAGCAATCTGGCAACGAATCTCCTCCTGTTCAATGGACGTAGATGCACCAGATGTGCTAGACATCGGGCAGGCATCATAGGCAGGTGTCTGGGACCCCAACCCATAGACCATTCCCTTGTTCTTATTGCCGACAACCTCCCTCCAAAGGTCATATTTAGAATGATCATGAAATGTGGCCAAATCACTGCCCCACTACTAGGATCAACTCTCCTTAAGTCATTAGAAGGCCTCCTACAAAAAAATATGATTAATGAAAGTTAGAAAAAAATAAAATTTGATAGTTATTTCAATTTTAGACTAATTAATCTTGTGAACTATCCGGGTTGCCCAAGATCTGTTGTCCACCCAGAACTGATTTCACTACCGCCTATGATTGTGCTCATGTAACTCTGTAGCGATTGGTTGGCTCCCACCCTTTCTCTAGAGTCTGCCAGTGTAATGAAATAGTTAGAATACATTTATTGTAAAATAATATTTAATGCAGAAAATAAATCTTACCAACCTCCTCTTGTACTATGTATGTAGGAGCGCCCCACCAGTGTGCTTAGAGGCCCCCATGCCCCCGCAGTCAGAATAACAATTTTGCTTGGTCTGCTCCCTCTTCTTCTGATACTCCGGAGAGTCTCAAACTCTAAACAAGGCGGTGAACACATCCTCGTTGAGCCACAAGAGGCACTAAAATGTCCAATGTATATCGTCAAGCTGGTCGTGAAGACAATTGCTCACCTTGAGCTCGAAGTTCCTACGGATGTGTGCCTTCTCCTCAGGGGACCAAGACTACTATTTTTGTAAATTGAATTAGAAAATATTAAATTCATAAACATAAATAAATAACTGAAGATTACTGTGTTCGGGGTTTACCACAAACTTTCAAAATCACATATCCCGAACTGTCATCGGGATCTCTCTCCAGGATAAGTAAGGGTGACCGTACTTGCTCCGAATAATTTCTCTAATAGAATGAATGACCTGTGTGGGTGGAGAGAATATGAAACAACATATGATTAGATCTCTATTAAATTAAAGAAACATAAAGTAGTAATGTCAGTATCTAAAAATATTTACGCGTTCCCTACTACCCGGAGCTGATGATAATTGCTTGCGTTGCTTGAACTAGCGATGCATCAATAGCAATTGATAGTGACAGTGTTAGTGTGTTGGTCGCAGTTGGTGATGGTACTGGTGTCGTGGTCCCGACTGGTGGTGATGCTTGTGTGGTAGTCGTGACTGATGGTGATGCTGGTGTGGTGGACGCGACTGGAGGCGGTGCTGGTGTGGTGAGAGTCAAGGTGGAGGCCTCTTGGGGAAAGTCGACCTCAAGGCTCGCCTTCATAATACCGCGCTCACCGCTTCATTGGCTAACGGACTTCTGTAAGCCAACATGTCCTCTGACAGGAGATCACCCCTCCCTCCAGAAGCAATCTACAAGCAGGATAGTAAAATTAATTTGTGCAACTGCAGACCACTAAAGCTGAAAATACAATAGAATGTATTAAGAAAAAAGGGTAACAGTAAAGTGCATGCAATCTATCAACTACTAAAACTAAAAACACAAGAGTATGTAGTAAATAGAAAAGAAAATTTATAAAGTGCAATTTATAAACTACTAAAACTAAAAACATAGAAGTACAGAGTAAACACAAAATAAAATTGTAAAATCCAATAAAAACTTTACTAAAACTGAAAACACAAAGTTAAGCAGTTGGAATAACTTGCACATCTTTGTTAACCTCCTCTGATGAGCTACTTAAGGATAAAGTTAAAATTACTTCATCCAAAGCATCGTCAGAATCATACTTATCGATGCAAATTTCTTCGTGTTCTCCACTAGCATTCTCTAAATTGAGCTCTTTATGGATTGTATCGAGTAGAATGTAAAGCGAATTATGAATATCAATGGTTGTTGTAGGTTTACCTTCTATGAATACTGCACACTCAACTTTATCTCTTATTATATTAGGATATGAAAGATAAAATACCTGACTTGGTTGCCTTGCTCAAATGAACGGATCAAAATTATCATACTTATGTTCACTTTTACTTCTACGATATTATACAGTTGGATTACCCTTATTCCATGATCAGAAATAGGATCGAACCAATCACAGTTGAACATGAATTCGCTCCCACCAATAGAGCTAGGATATGATAGTGCAACAACTTTGAGAATCTCATAGTAATCTCTCTCATTGTCTGATTATTATTTGCTTTGACAAAAATGTCAAAATTAAATTCTATTTTCCTTCTGACTAGGACCTCGTATAAAACTTGTAACCGTTTACATCATAAATTTGCTAAATTTTCACGATATAAATCGATCCACAAGAAAGGCCTATCAAGCCTTGATCTGTTACTCCCTTGTTTCGATCACGAATCTAGTAATTCATAAAAACTCATGTGTCATTGAAGATGTCTAAAAATAAATATTACTTAGATCACCACTAAGCCCTTAAGACCTAGATGAGTGTCTTAATTAATTTTGAAAAGGTTGTTTTAGGTGATCATGATTCATTATTTGAATTTCATTTGAACATCAAATAGGGGTATTAAATTGATTAATTATTGACTTCAAAAGTCATACCCCTAAGTCCTAGATTCATTTAATTTTAATAAACTTCCAAATTTTAATAATTTAGAAATTTATTAATCTATTTTTTAATTAGGAAAGTGAGGTTGGTTTCTACCAATTAATCTCCTTTTTCATTTCAGTCATCCAAATAAGTTAATTAAGATCAGAGGTTGCACATTTCCCTCCTTGAATTAAGCCTAAAAGTTAATTAAGGCCAAATTCCTAACATTACACTTTTGCCCCTAAGGCTCCACCACTTCATAATTTGTGAAATTCAAATCAAATGACTTTGAAATTTTTATCTTACCTCATTCATGGGTCAATTAAGACATCAGAGAAGAAAATGTGATTTTTCAAAATTTAATTTAATTTACATAATTATTTTCATGCAAAAATGGGATTTTCAAACAAAATTTGCTAACTTGACCAAGGCGAAGCCTATTCACTTGATTTTTTTACGGATGGTAGACCTAGACTAGAGAGCCATTTGGACAAAATTTCATGATTCTTTTGAATTTTATTTGAATTTTTAGAATTATTTTAAGTTCTTGGGTATTTATTAAATATAAAATATTTAAATGGGAAAAATTAAGTTTTGTATTTTTGAAAAATCTCCTTGAGGTCAGCAAAATACAATATTTTTATTTAGAAAATCAGAAAAAATATTCTAATTGCTTTTAAATGCTTAGAAAATAATTTAGAATATTTCTATACATTTCATTATTTTTGTGATTTTTATGAATGGTTAATTATTTTAAATATTTTAAAAGTAGGCTAAAAATGAAGTTTTTATTTTAAATACCATTTTATTTTTATAAAATTCTCCTGATCATAGAGAACTCCAAAAACAAGTTTTCATAATTTTTTGAGTTATATTTTGATTTTTTAAAAATTATTTTAGTGCCAAAAAAGATATTTAACTTGGAAAATCAATTTAGGTCATCAAATAGAATCAAAATGCTTTGAATTTTTTATGGGAAGTTCTCTGGATCTTAGACAATAATGGAGATAAAAAATCAAGTTATTTTGATGTTTATATTTTCCAAAATTAATTATCTTAGTGTTTTAGATTTTATGAAGATTAGTTTCATTTTAAATCACTTGACTCATGAAAATTTTTTCTAAGGGTTCTCTGGTCATAGTGAACCTACCAAAATTTTTTTGGATTTTTGGATTTTTTCTAAGCAACATTTTTTTGGATTTTTTCTAAGCAACATGCTAATTATTATGATTAATTTAAGCAAATTATATTCATAAACTTGAAAAATATGGATCTTTGTCTAGAGGTTTTCTCCGGCTTTGGAAAAATCAGGGAATGTTCCCCTTGACAGAGGCTACAACATGCCAAAAATTCAAGCTATGGTGAAATACCTATATGCATGGAGAGTTAAAATACTCAAAACAGTGTTTAATTAATTAAAAATAAAATATTCTTTAAATTGACATAAATTTTAATCCACATTATTCTCCTCTGTTCACTAAGCAAGTGAGTATTTTTCAGTAGGTATTTTAATTTTATTTTTGTGATTTTTCTACACCAAGATATGAATTTTTGAAGTTAG